AAAAAAAAAAAAAAAAAAAAAAAAAAAAAAAAAAAAAAAAAAAGAAACCGACTGATACTACATAACGATCCATTCTCTGATCATATAGCTTTCGAATGCTCCTTCACCTCGACCGACAACCTGCGAACACCCTGAAAAAAGAGGGGAAAGGGTATAAATATGTAAATGTACCGAGTAAGCAATCTATTTGTAAGCTTTCATCACATCCATGATTTAGCAAGTGACCATGGGCTTTACTCTAGGCAACAAGCGTATTGTTCTTACTATGCACAGTCTTGGATAGCTAGCTTAGCCTAAAAAGTTGTAACCGATATCCGAATATGAGGCACTACTTTCATAGACTTCATATTAGGTAGGAATAACATGATGAGTGCTAGCCTACTCATCATCCATGAGAGGTTAGCTAGCGAATCAATCCCACAAGTCATTCAGTTGTCCAGGGTTGGGGGGCACAACACCCTATACGTGCCGCTCCATTGGTTACCTACATGATCAAAGCTCTTCCATAGGATGAATCCTCCATGCAAGGTAACTACTAATTACCCGCATGATCAACACCCAACAACAGGACGCATGTAGAGTAATCCAACAAACCATTGAGTCACACATCCATAATCAACCTCATGTTAACTCAACGGTACTGTACCAGAGTCAAGAGGGAAGTGGAGGTCCTCACACACTATCTACTGCTATCAGGCTAGGAGACTACTTTTGTCATTCCTTGATGTCGTAGAGGTTTACTAGGTTCTTAGAGGTATCTAGAAAGTTTAAATCACAACTCTCATTTTCAGGACGTTCGAGGTTAGCTCCTTGTTCTAAATTAATCTATGTGTGCACACAAGTCTACTAGAAACGTATTGACTTGGGTCAACAAGTAAATCGCACTAGCTGTAGCGCTCTAATCTTAATTGAGTTCTTTCATGGATACTTTAATAGGGAGATATTCCTATCGATCACCTAAGCATGTAATCCATAATTTAAACTTCACCTTAGTAATATCTAGGAGCTGAGGAGGTCTATTGGATTTCTAAGGCACCTAGGTCTCTTAACGTAGACTTTTTACTCTAGGCTGCTCTATTCTAACTCTTCAAGTCTTTCTTAGTCTGGAAGCACTAGGATCTATACCCTCTGACCATCACTCACAATCTTAAGGTGCTAAGTGTATTGGAGGCGTACTAACCTATGTCATCATCTAGCCTTAACTCGTATGCCTTAGCTCTGTGCAGATAAACATGCTCTATACGGAGAACATCAGTCAAACTCTTGGAGCTAGAACATATTGGACCATGCAAATATATATGCAAACATACAGTCAAGCAAGCTCAACGTGGAGATAATATCTATCAAGCACCCAGAGCACAAATTTTAATAGTCTGTCGTTTCTAACACAGCGAAAAACATATAAAACAACTTTCATCACAAATCTCGTCATAATCGCATTTTAGTAATTTCTTACATCATACATAACATATTCATCCATATTTCCCAACTCGTATTCTAGTCATGCTTATTCAATTTTTAGCTTTATAAATTATATAAAATAGCATGCCACTCGAAAATCTCCACCTAGGGACATAACAATAATTTTACCATAACATTCATACAGTGCATGATCATAAAGAAAACGCTATTCAAAAGTCCTTAACATGCATTTTCTAACCACTTGAGGTAATGTATGATCTCATGCTAGCACGTCCTTTCGATGCCTACAAGTATTATTTATCTAAATTTGGTGTGATTTCTTACTTGGTGAAGTGTGCCTTCCCAAACTAGCTTTTCCACTTGTTAGGGCCCAAAGTTTCTAATTTCTCTGGTAGGTTTTAATTAAAGTAAAATTAGGGTTCTAATTTCTCGGACATTCAAGTCTCGGTGTTGAATCGAGTTGCATCTTGGTACACGAGTTAAATTGCGCGTTAGTTTGCGAATGCATGTCGGATTTAGCGCAATGTGTCATCTTCACCCGTTAGACACGTTGAACCATCCATAGTGCCACATGTGTTATTCACCAAACCAGCCGTGATTTATTAGATGGATGAATCTATTTAAAAACATCGTAATGTTAACCTAACTATTTATTTTTTTTTGTTTTTGGCAGTGGGATGATAGAAGCGGTTGGCCACGAATTCATGGAAGATTTTTTTGGTTCTTGTGAATCAGTGTTAGAGGACAATGGTCTTCTTGTACTACAGGTTTAATTAATTTTTTTTATTTTTTTACTTATAATTAATTCTTTTAATTACTCTTTATTTATAATTATTATTATTTTTTTGCATTAGTTCATATCAGTGCCACACGAATCTTATAAAGAGTATCGGCTAAGTGCTGGTTTTCTAAAAGAATATATATTTCAAGGAGGATGCCTTCCATCATTAAGTAGAATAACAACGGCCATGGCTTCTGCATCAAGGCTTTGGTAAATAGTTAATTTATGTTCTTCATTTTCTACGATAATTATTAACAAATAATAAAAAAATTCATTTTCAACAATAATTATTAACAAATAATGAAAAAAGTCCTTTGGATACAGTGTGGAGCACTTGGAAAATATTCGAATTCATTACTATCAAACATTGAGGTGTTAGGAGAAAGAATTTCTTGGTGAGAAAGCATTATTATAATAAATGATTTTGAATCCAAATCTAATTTATATTTTGTTTCAATCAAGGTTTCATACGAACTTGGGAATACTATTTTGATTACTGTGCTGCTGGGTTTAAATCACGAACCCTCGAAGATTATCAGGTATTATATCTAGATATATTTGATCACATTTTTACGTAAGATATCAAATTACTGTTAAGAATTGTAACGACCTTCGTATTCTAGGAATCTAAAGTCGCTAAAGTATGTATAAAGTAATTTTTTATGCATAAATATTTACAAACATTTTCATAAAACAATGTCATAAACTTAGAAATAATATATAAAAGAAAGTTGTAGTTAAATAGATCATTAGTGAGATCTCTATCATATCAATCTATTTTCCTAGAGCAACTATTCTAAGCAGACAATTGGACATGTCATCATTCATCATATAATTATAATTAAACGAGGGTAGGGCCACTTACTTGGTTGGCCTTAGCTGGCATTTTCCCTAAATTTGAGTATGTTCGCTTCTCGTCCCTCGAAATTGCTCTAAGTGTCACAGGTTGTCATTTTCTATAAGAATATCCATCCGGACCTTAAGTGCCTTAAACAAGATCAAATTCAGCTTTGGGATTGTCAGAATGGTGGAAATTGGGCTATTTTTCTTTACCGAGTTGAGGGACTACATTTTGAGCTGCGGAGCTGAGCCGAGCTGTTTGAGCTGCGTAAGCCTAGGAGAATTTTTGTTGGAAGTGTGACATGTGGCGCAACGGGGCACTGACGCGTGTGCAAGTCAAGTTGGGTAGAGGCGCGGGTTGCGGTTCGTAGGTTGGGCTTGCGATTTATGGGTCGTGGAACTTTGGGCGCTGTAGGTGGGCTGAGGGAAAATTGGTTATTAGGCCGAGATGTTGCAGGTGGGTCTTAATTTACTAATTTGGGCCTCAAGTGTAGGTCTAGGCCGAGAGAAAAAATGGTTAGGTAATGAGTTATTAGTTATGTTACCCGATCCAGATTCGACTCGAAGTCCACGGACTTCATCTTCCTTGTTAGACGAACACGACTCTCCACAATGGTATGGTATTGTCCACTTTGATCATAAGCTCTCATGGCTTTGCTTTGGGCTTCCCCAAAAGGCCTCATACCAATAGAGTTAGTATTCCTCACTTATAAACCCATCATTCCCTAAATTGGCCCATGTGGGACTTTCATCATCCAACACCTCCTCTCAAACAAAGCACGCCTCCCATTAATCGAGGCTTGACTCCTTTGGAGTCTTAGTCATTTTTTACTGCCTTCGTAGCTTCGAGGAGGCTTGACTCCTTAAGCCTCCTTTTTTCTTTTTGGAGTCCTTTGTTCGACATTCGAGGATTTGTCAATCTATTGGTACGGCTAAGTTTAGGGCATGGTTCTGATACCATGTTAGACGAACACGACTCTCCACAATTGTATGATATTGTCCACTTTGAGCATAAGCTCTCATGGCTTTGCTTTGAGCTTCCCAAGAGGCCTCAAACCAATGGAGAGTGTATTCTTAGATTATAAACTCATGACCATTTTTTAAATTAACCAATGTAGGACACTTTCATCCAATATTCCTTACTCGACTTCTTCGGAAAACACAAAAATAGTTCTCTCTCCTCTGAAAAACTATGCTCCAACTTCTGTTTCTTGTTGTTTTTCCTTTTATGCTTTCTGTTGACCCCTCCTCTTCACTCCCATGAGGTTTCACGACGGGTAGATACCTATAATATACAGAACCCAAAACTCAAATATCATTTTCGAGGAAGCACAATGTTGCTAAAGCGTGCAAAGCTTACCTTTCGTGTAAGTGCAGTTGTCGGTGGTTCTTTTCCTGGTGTGGGTTGGTCGTTTCAACGTCGGATCTCCTCAATTTTGTCTTGGAGGAGAACTTTCAAACTCTCTTCTTATCTTGTTTTCCTTTTAAATTTTGTTGTAGGTTGCATTCTAGGAAGGTTGAGGGTCGATTTGTCTTCGTGTTTGGCATGTCGTGGAGCCGGGGGAGGGTGTGGTCAAGGTGGGAAAGATAATTCCTACGCTCGTTGGAATTCTCGCGAGTCTCTAGCGATCACGCTGTATTTTATTTAATTGTTGTTGTCATTACATTATATACACCTAAAATAAACTTTCATCCTCAAAAGTATCAAACTCTTCGATTAACTCAAGGTACTTTTATCTTATTTTATCCTCTTGCTCCCATGTGGTCTCTGTTTGGTGGTTACGCCAAAATACTTTTACAAAGACAATATTCCTATGCGTAAGACCTTCACTTCGCAGCTAGATTTTAACTGATTTTTTTTCATCACTTAAGTCTTTGTCAATTTGAAGAGGTTTATAGACAATCACGTGCGTAAGATCCCTCATGTATTTGCTTAGCTTGGATACATGGAATACATCGTGTACGCTTGGGAGGGAGGGTGGTAAGACCAACTTATACGCTACCATACCTATTTGCTCTAGGATTTCGAAAGGTTCGATAAAAAGAGGACTTAGCCTACCGTTACGTCCAAACCTCAAAACACACTTCATAGGAGCCACTCTCTAGAATACCATGTACCCTACCTCAAATATAACGTTCCTTTGCCTTACATATGTATAGCTCTTTTGTCTGCTTTGCATGGTGCACATCCTTGTTTTAATTTTTTGTATGGCCTCATTTGTAATACGAACTAACTTGGGTTCCACTAGTGCTCGTTCGCCTACTTCACTCCAGTATAGTAGGGATCTACACTGTTTCCCATATAACGCTTCGAATAGTGCCATCCTGATAATTGCTTGAAAACTACTATTGTACGAGAATTCCATCATATGCAGCTTGGTAGTCCATAACACATGCTCATAGCGTATCTTCTAACATTTGATTCAACCGCTCCATTTGACCATCTATTTGAGGGTGAAAGTCAGTGCTGAAGTCGATGCGAGCACCCAACACTTTCTTGAGTCTATGTTAAAATGCCAATGTAAAGCAGGGGTCTCGATCCGACTCTATCGATACTGGAAATACCACCTCATGATTTCTTTCATATATAGTTGAGCCCATTTTTCTACTATGTATGTCGCCTTGCTCAGTAGTAAGTATGCCGAATTTGTCAATCTATTGATAATTACCCAGATTATTGTATAGCCCTTTAATGTCCTGAGTAAGCTCACTATGGAGTCCATAGCGATATTTTTCCACATCCACTCCGGTATACTTAGAGGTTACAATAGTCCTGCCGTTTTTTGACTATGAGCTTTTACTTGTTGGCACACTAGGCATTTACTCACAAATTTTGCTATATCCTTTTACTTATAATCTGCTACAATAAGTGTTGTTTTAGGTCTTCGTACATCTTGTTACCGCCTTGATGCAGAGAGAATAGTGAGTTGTGTACTTCAATCAATATTTCATTTCTTAATTCTTCAACAGCTAGTACACAGAGCCGTCTTTGACCTAGAAACCAACCATCTGATGACTTGGAAAAGCTATCCACTGGTCTCACTGTTAGCTGACTCAGTATCTTATTTAGATTGAGGGTCCTCTTGTTCGGATTCAATAATCCTTTTTCTAAGTGTGGGCTGCACTGTGAGTCGAGCCATCTGTGCTATGACTCCTTATGTTACTCCAACTATGTCAGCTTGCTTGAAATCAGATTGTACTCGTGACTCTCTAGTGATGAGGGTTGACGAGTGTGCGTTTTACGACTTAGGGCATCTACGACCATGTTTTCTTATCCAAGGTCGTACCAGATATCTATATCATAGTCCTTCATTAATTTCAACTACCTTCATTGCCTCATGTTCAATCTTTTTTGGGTGAATAAGTACTTTAGGCTTTTATGGTAGGTGTAGATTTGAGTTTTTTCCCATTGTGACGACCCTAATTTTCTCTAACCTAATTAGCGACGTTACCTTGTACTTGCATAACGACAAAACGAGAGTTTACGTAAGATAGTCTCAATGACGATAATACATTCTTATAAGCAGTTCATACCTGGGGAAAACAATAACGATAGCCTAACGTAGAAATAATCAACAGAGAACTAGAGGAAGAATTGCAATAACTATGAACCTAAAAGAATTCAACAAGACGCCTACGACACTACAAACCTTCCTTAAGATTTCCATGGCCTTTGCAGCATCCACCGTCAGCTGTACATGGGAGCCTTGCCCTTATCTGAAAATATGGGTAACATGTGGCTTGAGTATTATATAAAATACCCAGTAAGTCGCCCCACTGTTGGGGTTAAGCATATAATCATCCATCAGGATACATGCTGTCGCACACAATATACATACATGAGCACAAGTGTCAAAAGAAAGAAACGGAGAGAGGGGTCTATCTTCCATTCCTTCCCATGGCCTTAGGCCCTTGCCTTGTCCGGGCGAGGGTGGATGCATGGTACTTTCCCACACATGGCCTACGTGCGTGACTGTGGGCCCACCAGGCGAGTTCACATGCAAACTCCTTGGGTCTTGCTTGATTGGGTATGTATGACATACAATACCGGACGCCACAAAAAAGGAGGGCCTGCATGATATCGTGGCGAACACAATATCGAATGTACGCCTCCATACCATCAGTAGCATAATGGGGGAGTGCCCCATGTACATAACCATAGCGTGCATAAGATTCTTAAGGCTTACCTCCATGGCATTATACATACAACGTTCCATCCCCTCACTGCATTACATAGCATAATTGGGTTACACATCAAGTAAGAATATCGAAGCATACTAGTCATCACATTCATGGCATGCGGGGTTCTCATTACAATCATGACATGTCAATCAAGCTCATACATACAGGTTAGCAAACCGTGTCAAAAACATCACATACATAAACATGGCATACATAGCATTTCACTGCAAGAAACATATAACCTAGCATACATCAAAACCACACATGGTGCATGCAAGGACCACGGGGCATGCACCAACATACATACATAACTAACGCTAACAGTAAGGTTACTTACCTCCTTAGCCTTGGCCGAAGTCACCCACAACGCTAACTCCAGTGCCTAACTACCTCCTATAAGATAACATGATACACTTAGAGCCTTTTCACAACTAGCACTTATGCCTAGCTACCAAGGTACGTCCCTATCACAAGCTGTTTTTATCAAAATGGAGTTATACTAACCTCAGATGGTTAAAACAAGGGTGGGAATGGCTCTAGAAGGATCAAAAACCTAGAAATTAGTATACTATTGGGATGTCGAGTGCGCCGCCAAGCTGCACTACCAAGCAAAACCTAGCCGAGCCGAGAGTGCACGGAGCCGTCGATGGAGCTGAAACCGACAGGCTGCGAAGAACACTGTTGGTGTAGGGTTTCTGGGTTCACCTCTATTTTGGGCCGAAAGGGAACGAGGCCCAATAGTGGTGTCCGAGCGCGGTCTGCGAGGTGCGGGCTGCACGCTGGCCGAGACAAACTCGTAGAATGTCGAGGGTCGTCCCGCGCCATCGCTTCGTCTTCCTTGTCGAAAACCTCGACAACCATAATCGCGGGGCTTGGCTACTGTCGTCCTTCGTCCATCTCCGATGACTCGTCTGTCTCTCCTTGCCCCGACGTACACTGGCGTCCGCTCCTACCTAAAGGAGGCGGTCTCTGCGACCCTAGGGTTTAAGGGTTCTGAGTGAAAGATTTTCGATGCGCCCCCCTCCCCTCCATTTTTTTCCTTGGAATGTGTATTGTTACACCCATATAGGTTGTGTCGCCAAATATTTAATGCGAACACCATTGCATTCAATTCTAGGTCATGCGTAGGATAGTTTTTTTTTTTTTTTTTTCATATTCTTTGAATTTGACTTGACGCATAGGAAACAAGCTTACTGTGTTGCATCAATATGCACCCTAATCCCTTCTTGGATGCATCACTGTAGATTATATATCCCTATGAGCTTTCCGGCACCGTGAGCACTAGAGCTTACACTAGTTTTTGTTTTAGGTCTTGGAAGCTGACCTCACATGCGTCATTCCATACAAAAGGTACGCCCTTCCTTGTCAACTGTGTAAGAGGTGAGGCTATT